TTGGGGGGGGGGGGTAACGGCTCTATAGCCGTTGGGAAGGGGAACGGCTAAAAAAATCGGCCCTCACGCCGCGTCAAACGAATGACGCAGGGCTCCTCACGCCCGTTTAACGTCGGCGGGGGCGGTGTTGGCGTGAGGAGTATTACCAGTGCTCTAAAGGATGTGCAACTCCTATATATATACAATAGTACTTTTTGTTTCTCAATTTAAGTTAGATTTTACTATTCACAAGATTAAACCATGTTCGTTAGTTGATTTTGCTATATCCTTTGATAAAATAATAAATATTGTCTTATCATCTTCTATTTTAGAACTATAGATGTAGTTTTGAGTTATATAAATTTTATTTTTAAATTTTACATTAAGTTTTAAATAAATTCAATAAAATCTCATAAAAAACAAAGGACTTAAATGGGGACGGCAGAAGTACGTCTATATTTTCATCTCAAAACAGTACTATTGTATTGTGATAATATACGTAATATTGATGCTAGATGTTGGCATTTCAACTTTATTTGATATCATGCGTTGCATTGTGGCTTCTTAAGGTGTGCAAAGTAGCCAACCGCACAGGGGCCCTAAAATTTTAGGGCTCCATATTTTTAATTTTTTTAATGATTTTAAAGCAAAGTATTCTAAAAAAGTAAAATATGGTCCAAAATGTAAATTTTGGACCGGGCCAATTTTATTCTCATTTTTTGGGGCCGGCCCTGATGCGTTGCTATTATAAGTCCGATATTTTGAAGATAAAAACATGACGATGATTCTGATTAGTTTTTAATTTGTTACTATGTCTTAGTTTTATTTAATAATTTTTCAAAATTTATCTGGTCACCGGTCAACTGGGGAGCTAAAAGTCTAATGCTATGTTTGGTTCAAAAATTTTGGAAGAAAAAAATGATTTTTTTTTCATTTTCTTACTAAAATAAGAGGAATTTATTTTTTTCTGGTGTTAGTAAGTACGGAGTAGTTTTTCCGAGTTTCTTTTTCTTCAACTTTTCTTTTTCCTTTTTTCATTTCTAATTGCTTGAATCAAATACTGGTTTAAAGGAATGATATAAGGCGTAATAAGGGTATGGTGTTTGTCATTGATTTTAAAGAGAAAACAAGTCTTTCAAAGGTCCCTCAAAAAAAAGTCTTTCAAAGGTGGTGGTAGGAAATTGTACACGAAAAACTTTATTTTAAAATTATACTACCTCCGTCCCAAAAAGATTTACACGTTGTGACTAAAGTTGAAATTACAGGAGGGATAATTTTGTGTTGACTTTCCAAAAATACCCTTGATGTGATGAGTAAAAGTAGGATGTGATGTGTAGATTATTAGGAAAAAAATATGATGTGATAGGTAGGGTTTGAAAAAGTAAGGGGTAAAAGTGGTTTTTTAATAGAAATGGGTAGGAGATTGTGGAACGCAATTTTTTTGAAAGGTGTAAATGTTTTTAGGACAGAGAGTATTTGAAAGTAAACATTGTTGTGAAAATAGGTCAACTTAAATTTTAAAGGATGAACGAGTCTTTCAAAGGTAGTGGTAGAAAGTTGCACAAGAAAAACTTTAATTTAAAATTGAATTTGAAGGTAAAAATTGTTGTGAAAAAAGGCCAAGTTAAATATTTACTTGGAAAATGCTAGGGGTACACCAAAGGTTGGTGTACCCCATTTGTCCCCCACCCCCTCCATTACCACTCAATTAGGCAAGAAAATTAAAAAAAAATAAGTAAATAAAAATTAAAAATAAATGAGTGGTTATTGAAGGGGTGGTGTACAAATGGGGTACACCTTTGGTGTACCCCTAGCAAGACCCTATTTACTTTTTGGTGTTTCATTTCACAAAAACTAGAAACAAAAGATATTTTCAAACTCAATGTCACGCACTTTATCATGATACATATATATAGGGAGTATATATAATAATTCCCTCCTACTTGAATTAATTGATGCATTTCACTATTTACAAGTCATTTTTGTGAATTTTTTCTTTTTTCTTAACTTATTTATGTCTCTCCATGTTTTATAGAGTATTTGTTACGGAGTATATTTTAATTTGTAGATTTTGAATATATAAATTTTGTTTTAGAATTTTTTATCATTATTAATTAAATAAACATCGTCACAGTTATAATGATAGTATCATAATATGACATAGAACATCTACTAACTAAACTTCATTCGTAACATTAATTGGCCCTACCTCACAAATATAACCTAGCAATTAACATCGTCATTAAATAAATTATATTGAAAATAAATTTAATTAAACATCATTATTTCTAAAAATGTTGTTCTCGTGACATTGTTTAACAATATCATAAAATGATCCAGGGGACCTATGGTAACGATTCCTGTGAGTACTCCTCTTAACCCCCCCTTCAGTTGCACCCCCAAATATTTTTGACTTTGGAGTTAAATTTTAACTCTAAAGTCAACCAGATTTTGGAGGTGCAACAAAAGGGATGGGGGTAGATTTGGAGTGGAGGAGACTTAGGATATGTTTGGTTGGAGGGAGATAAGGTTTTTTTTTAACAAAGCTCATACTATTAAACACCACAACCAGTTCCAAATTACATGCCAGTCCACTCAAGTATGGAATAACAACAGACAACTAAATGAGAAACTAAATGAGATGTACTACTTTTAGCTTATGATTAATATATATCTTCATTAGGCTCTTGAGCCAATGGTATGAATCAGATACTGTCACCTCCTCTTGTTTCATAACCTTCTAGTTCCTTGCCCTTCAAACAGCATAACAGACTCCAGCAAATCCTGCAATGGCCAATTGTCTGTTTTTCCTTCCACTGATGCATTGAATAGCCTTCTGTAGCTCCATATCATTGCTGGCACACCAGCTAATTTGAAGCCACCTTCTAACTTCACTATGCAATTCTCTAGCGTACTGGCATTTGTAGAATAAGTGCACCCTATCCTCTACATGATCAGAACATAGAACACAATCAGTAGTAATGTTCATGTATCTGGCCAACCTAGTTTTAGTGAGTATCCTGTCTTTCCAACCCAACCATTGTAGGAATTGATGTTTAGGAATAGTGAGCTTATTCCAAACAATCGAGGTCCATTGTACATTTTCATGGTCGCCCAACAGCCACTCATAGCCTTTCTGCACTTCATATTTACCTTTAATGTCCATGCCCTCAAATTCCTTCCTGTTATGCATAATTTTTTTCAAATAATAGCAAAAATCTGATTTGACAGAGATGTTCCATATGTTGTCCCTTTTTAGATACTTATTATGAATCCACTTAACCCAAAGGATGTCCTTTTTGCTTGCAATGTCCCAAATCAACCTTTGGATGCAGGCCATATTCCAGTAACTTAGATTTTTGAACCCCAGACCACCTGCCTGTTTAGGCTTGCAAACATTCTCCCAATTGACAAGAGGCGTTTTAGAGTAATGTGCTTTAGCCCCCCAAAAGAAGTTCCTGCAGATGGCTTGTATCTTCTGCATCACACTATTAGGGATTATGAAAAGTCTACACCGGAAGGAGATCACCCCGAACAGAACATTGTTGATCAGCTTACATCTACCTGCATATGAAAGATTATTTGTTGCCCATGCAGATATCTTAGTTGTTATTTTGGCTACTAATGCTTCACATTCCCTATCGCTTATCCTGCCATCAGTAATAGGGCCTCCTAGGTACCTAAACGGAAGTACACCTTTAGCCATACTAGTCATATCCATAATCACCTCATAATCCAGATCATTCACTCCTCCTAGGATAATCTGAGACTTGGAATAGTTAACCTCAAGTCCAGTTACAGCCTTAAAATGTTGAAGACACTCCAGGATTACCTTGATTGAATCCTTATCAGCTTTACAAGCTACTATCAAATCATCAGCAAAAGCCAAGTTTATTAATCTCAGATTCCTACATCTTGGGTGGTATTTAAATTTGCTCCTGTCAGCATAATATATCAAAGCTCTTGTTAAATATTCCATCACTACAGTGAATAATAGGGGAGACAGTGGGTCACCTTGTCTAATCCCCTTACCCCCATTGAAATAGCCAACATTTTCTCCATTTAGCATAATAGAATAGGAAGTATTGGAAATACATAAGTATATCCATTCAATAAATTTTTTAGGAAACTTCATGTACTCCATTATTTCTTTTATAGCTCTCCAGCTGATGGAGTCATATGCCTTCCTGAGATCCAGTTTCATTAGACATCTAGGGGAGGCTCCTTTCCTTCTATATCCCCTTGCTAACTCGTGGCATAACAGAATATTATGGACCAACTCTCTACCTTCAACAAACGCACCTTGATTAAGGTTGATAAAGGGAGATAAGGTTTTATTAGAAAGGTAATGGAAGGTAGGTAAAGTAAGGTAATAAGTTGAAAATTTGTATTTGGATATTTATTAGGTAATGTGAGATAAGTAAAATAATAAAATTACTTAAATACCCTTGTGCTTGTTGATCGAATTTCAATGCTGGTGTGGCAAGCATCTACTCCGACCGCCACGATTGCCGTTACGACTACAAATCCACTGGCCGGAATCTCATCAGCAAGGAAAATCTCATATTGCAAAAAAACAACTTAAAAATTTGAGAAACAAAATAGTATATTTTAATAAATATTGAAATAACGAAAAAAGCAGAAAGACATAAAAAACGTGATATTAAAATACACAGCAAAAATAAAAAAATTCAGCAAAAAAGAAAAAACAGCAAACCAAAAAAAACAACATAGTAAAGACGAAAAAGAAAGCATAAACGAAAACCAGAAAAAATAAAAACCGAAGGAAGAGGAAAGAAACCAGAAAAAAAACAAGAAAAAAGAAGATAAAAACTAAAGGGAGAAGAAGAATTTACCGCTGGAAGAGGAGATGGCGACCGAATGGATCTGAGATCAGATACGGCTAGTGAAGGGCAGTAGCGAAACTGAATCTGATGACCGAGGTGTTTTGCGAAATTGGCGGTAGCCTAAATTTCACTGTTACGCGGTGAAGCTACCGCCATTTACCTCCCCTTACCTATCTCTGTTTCTTCTCCAAACAAGGTAGATTTTAATTACTACATCATCCAACTTTCACCTCCCTCCATCCCCAACGTTGTAGGAATTAGACGGAGTAGGAATCGTCAACTTTTCAAATTGGGAATCGTAGGGCTTCGAGTTATTCCATGGCATTGATCCATGATACAATTAAAGACTTTATCTCTTTACCTGATCTGAATAATTCTTATCTAATTTGAACAAATTCTAATCTGATCTGAATGTAGTTATATTTAAAATTATTTCTAATTTGGTTTGATCTGATTAAAACTAAGCTGAACCCAATAACAACAAGTAATACTCCGTAAGAATAAATTGAAGAAAACATAAAGAATAGTAAGTTTTGCTAAACAATTTAATACGGAGTAGAATAAATGGGAAGAAAAGTTTATCGGTAAACTTCATCCAAATTCAGACTTTTGGGGCAAAATTTTGAAAAGATTAATGCAATCTTAAAATTCAAACAGCATGCCCTCTTGTCTTATTTAAGACTAGAGTAAATTTTACAAATAATTTTCTATATTTAAAGATATTCCATATTTAGCTCATTATATCTTAATAAAATTCTAGTATTAAGATCCATTTTAATTATAAGCATTGCCAAATTTAATTTTTATTCCATCAAAGATTCCCAAAATGGTTTGCTAAGAAATGATTAATTAAAATGTAGCAGTGTCAAATTTTTTAGAAACCATAGTTGGTAATAATCCTGAAAATGTGAGCAAATAATTTGGTGTCTTTTTTTTTTTAAAAAAACTTATTTCGTTTATTTTATTCGTTGCAATGTTACTTGTGTGTTACCCACTCGTTAGCACGAAGGGATGAGTTCCATTGTAATGTTTGGGAGGGATGTGTCCCCAACTTTGTTATTCCTCTCCTTGACCAACTATGCCTCTCCAAAAAACCCTTCAAGTGGTAGGGCCAAACAGTGTATACTAACCCGTAGGGCCAAGCCAAAGTTGGGTTTCTGGGGTATGGGGGCGCGAAAGCGGTGGGGCTAGTCACTATAAAAAGTTTACCCTACCACAGTTTAACCCGCACGGGTAGCCCAAGTGGCAAACACTTGGTGAAGTTTGGATAATGACCAAGGATCGAAACCTGGCAGCGACCGTTGTGGAGGCGACCACCTCTGAAAAATGGGGGGAGTCTCTGGTGCGCACTAGGATATGGTCTAGCTAAATGTTGTGCTTGGGTCACCGTGATTTACCTCCTCTCACATTCCCGTCGGGTCAGGGGTGAGGGGCGCTCGGGATGAGCGATTTCACCTTTTGGAAAATGTTATACCCCTGAGTGAGAGAATATAGAGAGGTGTGACTGAACATTTTCATTTTGAATTTTGAAATTGAGAAGAAAGGTTTGGTTGTTGGGGATGGGGGAGACAACTTTGCACAGCTTTTAATGGATTACTACTCTCCCCTTTCTTTCAGTCAGTCATCTCTGCTGCTATATATATAGAGTAACTTGCTTTTCCTCTGATCTAAATTTCTGCAGCACCATGCTTCAAGCTTTAGGGGCACTACAGAGGGGGGAGGGTGCCCCTAAAACCCGGAATAAATCAATGCATTTTCCCACGCTTTCTTGCTTTACCGTACATGGGGGCTTTACACGTTTCAACCAGGAAGAATGCTCAATTACTCTGTGTTCTACAGTACTACCATTAATGGAATCAACAAAAACAATGTATAAATGGAAAGCTGTGACATTTGCACCAGAATAAAGAAACCATCCTATAAACTGAAACAAAAACCAAATCCTAATCCAGTCTTCTGATGCCATTGCACCAGATAGCTTTGAACATCTAGGGGAAATGTACACAAATGAAGATGCCAGATTCTTGGCATTATTGATCTCATCTCCATATAAAAATAAATAAATCATTCAAAAAAAGATCAAAGATATAGATATGTCTCACCTAATAAAAACTATGACAGTTGATCAGAAGCTCCTTTCCCATCTTCCATCCTCGAATCCTGATGAGTCTGGTGAGCCATATCATATGTCGTATGCACACCGACGAGGAGATAGTAAACCAGCATCACTCCACTGCATATGATGAACCTCCAAAAGGCAGCTGGCCCGAGCGACCCAATGAGGAAAAAGTTCATCCCGATCGACACCGATGGTAGGAAGGGCACAAGAGGAACTCCCCAGACTTTTGGAACCCTACTCTTGGGAAGCAATGCCATTCCTAATGTCCCTAAAACCCAGAAACCGCCCGAAATCGCGTATCCAATCCATCCCCCAATGTTCCTGTTCCATAGGACAGTCACTCCGATTGATGAGCCTATGATGACAAACAGGCAGACCAAGAATTTGATATAGTCGCCTTTTGGTGTTTGGTCCTTCACGTAGTATCGCCTTACCAGCAATGCCACTGCCATTAGCATGAAGATTGAAAGTGTGCAGAAGGAGAAAACACTAGACAGGACATCCAAGCTTGTGAAGAAGGAGATGATGCAGCTGGTTATGGTGGTGAGTAATGTAGCATAGATCGGTGTTCCTGTCTTCGGATGAACCAGAGAAAACCACGGGGGGACCATGTGTGTTCTTGCAATCTGGGTAGTGTACCGGGCTTGACCCATGGATCCCACGAGCAAACTCGTAGTCATTCCCTTAAGAGCACAAATACTCACAAGATACTTGGCCCATTTCATCCCTATCCCGTTAAAAGCGACCGAATAAGGGGCATCCGCATCAATACTTGTGTACTTCACCATCATAGTAAGAGCAGATGACATCAGGCAATAGAGGACAGTGATAAAAGACATGGAACCAATCAACCCTAATGGTATGTCCCTAGAGGGCTTCTTAGTCTCCTCTGCCATTGTGGCAACCATGTCAAAACCAGTATAAGACCAATACACAACAGCTGCTGCCCTAAACACACCCCCAGCCCCATAAGGAGCAAAGGGTGCCAAGTTTTCTGTTTTCCCATATAGAAAACCAGCAATTATGATGAAAACTATAATCCCAGCAGTCACTATGGAGCTTAGCCAATTCAAGATTGAAGTGCGGCGGGTTCCGGTCATGGCTATTCCATTTGCAAGAATTAGAATCACCACAGCTATAGGGTCCAACAAATTGAACCCTTCTGCGAAAGAATCAATCTTTATGCGGAAAAAATCAGATTCGTTTTTTATGAGGCTGGAAAAATAGGAAGACCACGAGCGACCTAAGCCCGCGGCGCCGACCACGGCTTCCAATAGAAGGTTACCTGCGGCAAGGAACGCCACGAAATCGCCGAGTTCGATGCGGAGGAAGGAGAAAGACCCGCCGGCGATCGGGATCTCGACGGAGAACTCGGTGTAGCAGAAGACGGAGAGCAGAGCGGAGAGGCCGGAGATCGCGTAGGCCAGGACGATGGACGGGCCGGCGTCGTTGCGGGCTTCAAGGCCCGTGATTGTGAATATGCCCGACCCGACGACGGACCCGAACCCGAGCCACATGAGGTCCCACCAATTCAGGCACTTCCGCATCTCGTTCTCCGACTCCTTCCGGAGCTCCACCATCTCCGTGGCATCATCGGACCTGCCCAAGAACCGATCTTTGAGCCGTCTCGGAGTCTGGGCGACGCCGGAAAAGTAGGTGGACAAGTTCTCGAACGTGGGCTCGGGGAAAAAATCAGTCTTGCTGAACCGCCAATACGATCTCTTCGCCGGCGAATCCATGGCGGAAGACGAGAGTGGACGGGTCAGATCTTGATGGAGTAGGGAGTCAAATAATGGTGGGGAGGGTACGTCCCCCGCCATTAAAAGTGCCCTCAAGATAGATATGGAAGTCCTCAAGAGACAAGAGTCCGTCTGTGATTGGGATTCTCCGGATTCCGCTCTGATTTCTCGCGTTGTAACTGAATCTAGGGTGGAGATTCCTATTCTGCTGGAACACTGCGTACCTGGTACGGTTTATTGACCACATTAGTAACCTCCTCCAATTTTGATCATGAATTGTACTTTGTCAAACTATGAAAAACTACCAAAATTAAGTTTGAAAAATATGAACCCATTTGGCAACAAGATCACACATTAGCATCAACATTTTAAAAAGAGTAAATTCCTAAAATAGTTCTTCATAAGATGTTGTCTTTAATCAGTCTTCAATAAATTTTATTTACCTACATTGTTCTCTATAATTGAAATTTCTTCTCAAGATGGTTCTTCGTAAATAATGTTATACAAATGAGGATTAATTGAGGGTATTTGGATATTTTTTATCCACTAAATTTAGAATTAATTTTTAAAATGATCATTTTTAATGAAGTGCTTTCCCAAAATGATTTTTCTTATTAAAGATGTGTATTTGATTTGAAATTTAAAAGATTTTTTCTAAGTTTAAATAATTCATGAATTATTTATAGTCAATGTATTTTTTAAATTTTACATTTAGTTGTACCGAAATGACTGTTTCGAGAATATACTTTAAATTTGGATGATCAAATTTACGCAACAGGGTGGAACAAATTTTTTGTTTCAAATTTTTAAGTTTTCTTTGCTACAACATTCTTAAAAAATCAAACAAAATAAAATATCAACTTTAGAAGTTAAAATAATGATAAAATAAACTCACTCGTCCCACAAAATCTTTATAGTTTTTTGACTCTTGGAAGATTTAAGGGAAGAATATTTTGGTCTTGACCTTCTAAAAATGTCCTTGGATGTGATTGCAAAAGTAAGATGTGATGAGTAGATTAGTACAAAAAAATATGATGTGATAGACATGTTCAAAATTAGTAGAACTAAAAGTGACTTTCTAATAGAAATGGAAGAGATTTTTGGAACGGATGAAAAAAAGAAGATTTTGTGAAACAAAGAGAGTATAATATGTTCTGATGAAAATTATAGAGTAAATTCCATAATTGGTCCTTTATTATAGATGGGTTTCCATATTTAGTCCCCTATTATCAAATATTACTCTCGTAGTCCTTTTTTAAGAGTGTCTTTCCACAAATGGTCCTTTTTTTGATCTTCTGTCATGTGGGTATTAATTTAAAGGCTAAAAGTATAATTTGACATCAACATTATGTCTAGTGACGTGTTCTGATATTGGTTAAGCGGATAACACAAAAATAATGACTATGATTGTGGGCTAGGATTCCGACGAAAGACTACATTTGTAGACTATGGATCTAGTAGAAAGCGAATGTAATTCACAAACGACGCAAACAAAACAACTTTTGAAATTGTGTATGATAAAAAAGATATATTATCATTGTGAAATTACACTTTTAGCCCTCAAATTAACTCCCACGTGATAGAAGATAAAAAAGGACTATTTGTGGAAAGATACCCATAAAAGAAGGACCACTGGGTAATATTTGATAATAGAGGACTAAATAAGGAAACCCCCTGTTATAAAGGACCAAGTATAGAATTACTCAAAATTATACTATATTTATTGGAAACGATTTTGGTTCTGGTGAGAATGCGATCTTAGGAGAGAAATAAGAATGAATCTGGTGCTTTAGATGGTGAGATCTAAGGGCCAGGATTGCATCAAAATTAGATGCACCAAAATCGTTTGAAAATGCATTACGCTGAAATGCAACACAATTCTTTGAAAATGCACTACCTCAAAATCTGAGCGCAAGATGCAATTTGAGCCGCACGATGCATCAGATCCAACGGCTAGATTTCATTCTCATTTCTCTCCACAAGTAGCATTCTCACAGGAACCGGTCCCTATTGGAAAATTAACATGTCAAGCTCTTATTTAAATTACAACATTTTGAAAAAATTGAGGTTGTGCTAGATTTTGCTTCAGCGCGAATATATTTTATGTTTTAAATTATAAATTTTAAATTTCAAATCTTAAATTTTAATTATAGACTTTAAATTTTGAGTTTTATGTTTTTAAATTTTAAAATATATTATAATTATAAAATTTTATATTTAAAATGTTAATTTTTAAATATTAAATTTTATATTTTAAATTTTAAACTTTAAATTTTTTATTTTAAATTTTAAATTTTAACATTTACGTTTTAAATTTTAAATTTTAAATTTTAAATTTTAAATTTTAAATTTTAAATTTTAAATTTTAAATTTTAAATTTTAAACTTTAAATTTTTTATTTTAAATTTTAAATTTTAACATTTACGTTTTAAATTTTAAATTTTAAATTTTAAATTTTAAATTTTAAATTTTAAATTTTAAATTTTAAATTTTAAATTTTAAATTTTAAATTTTAAATTTTAAATTTTAAATTTTAAATTTTAAATTTTAAATTTTAAATTTTAAATTTTAAATTTTAAATTTTAAATTTTAAATTTTAAATTTTAAATTTTAAATTTTAATTTTTAA